GAAAAAAAAAAAATTGTGAAGCTAAGCCTTTAAAGATGGAGAATTAAAATTTCACTAAAAATTTTAAAATTTTCCATTAAAAGAGATTCCCAAACAGAAAAAGTTAAGGAAACTGATAAAAGAATATTGAATTTTGTACAAATTGGTAGCAAGTGATAGGAGTGAAAATTGGTCTTATTTGAATATTGTTGAAACCGTTCAGAAATAGGAAAATACTCCCAAGTTTGCCCCTGACAGGATAAGAAGAGAAAGATTGAGAAAATTAGACAAAAATTCTTCAAATTATTAGAGATATTGGACTACCTTAAACAGTGCTTGCAAAAAAAAAAAGAGAAAAAGAAAAAATAAAGAAAAAAAAAAGAATAAAAGGTCAATGGACACCTTAGACTTAATAACCGTGTCTCTTCACCTAAGTCAAATGTCGAGATTCACGTCAAACGGAAAAGGGAATGCCAAAGACAATCACCTAACACTTAGTAATAGGGTCTCTTCACTTAAGTCAAATGTCAAGATTCATGTCAAACGGTGGATGATAACAAAAAAATAAGTATACATATCAAGTTCAGGGGTAGAAATCCGTTGTCAGAAATAATAAGAAGAATACTTGTTTGATTTTAAAATCAATCTCATCTTATCAAGACAATTTGCAAATGGAAGGGTAAATAAGATTTTTTAGTCATGTTTCGGTAATATTCAAAATAAGGCAATTTTACCCCTAAAGCCTAATACCGATCTATACAGAGTTTGAGAATGTTGGAATGAGGATGCTTGATTAATTCTGTTAGGGATGACCTTATAATGGGAAAGATCTATATACTCAATGTAATTTTAAGGCTGTATTGCTAAGGGACTAGCAATGTTTAAGTTGGGGGGTGTGATAACTCTGCGTTTTGATGCCTTAAGGGCATTAATTCAGGGGTATTTTCGGCCTTAAAAACTCAAAATATGTCATTTTCCCAGTTAAAATCAATTATGTGACCTTTGAGGGTCTTTGTGCAAATTATGTGGAAAACTAGAAAATTTTCTAGGTTGAAGTGTAGTTTTTGGGAAGCCGGTGTGAAGTCCAACTGAGAGAGGGGGTGTTTTTGTAAAGAACTGAGAATAGGAGGGCGCCTCCTATCTGCTAAACCCAGTTGGCGCCCATCCTATTGTATTACCATGCTCCCCTCTACTTAGCAAACCCTAGGGAGCCTTTTTAACCTAATCCTTTCACTTTTAGCAAACCCTAACTGCCCCTAGGTGTTTAATCTCCACCCTCCACCTCTTTTAATCTCAACCACTCATTTTAGGGCTCTCCTTTATAGCTTTTAAACCTCAGGGTGCCACCTATTCTGCTAATCCTCACCATTCAACCCCTCACCTCCAAATCTCAGCTACTCCCTCCATCTTATATCCTAACCATTCAATCTAGGGTGCCACATGTTCTTTTAATCTTAACCCTTTAACCCTAGATGTACTAATCTACACCCTTCATTTCTAGGTGCCCAAATCTCAGCCCTACATAATATTGGGTGCCATCTCCTTTTATTTTTCAGCCATAGGATCACCTCAAAACCATCCTAACCATCCATTAGAAACCCTAGGGCGTCCCTAACTTTGCTAAAGCCCAGTTGCCGCCCCCATCTTTCTCCCTATTCCCAGTTGTGTCCACCCTTTTCTATAAAAAGGGTCCCATGGGCCTTGTATAAGGGTTGGTGAATTCACCAAGTAAGAAAGAATGCTAATCTTGAGAAGTTCAAGGGTAGAGGAAGAGGAGGATGCCCAAGCAAGAGGAGGGGTTCCTACTTGTAGTTCGCCAACACCACTACTGCCACCTTTGGATTTGAATCCCAACCATTTTTTTTTTTCAGTTTTAGAATTATTTTCTGTTCTTTAATTTCCAGTTTAATTTTTCCTTCCTGCAAATTTATTTTTATTAGATTTAATTTGTGTTTTATTTCTTTTCTACAGATCTGAAATTTGGCTAGGTAAGACGGAAGGCCTAGCTCGAGAAGTTTGAGGGTGGAAGGAGCGATCCAAAAACTGCTACCTTTGATCGGATTTTCAGACTTTTTTATTTTGTTTTTTTGTTTAGTTGTTTATGTTATTTATTTATTTTTATGCACTTGTTATTCTAAGTACTGTTCTAATTTGGTTTTAATGAATTCAATTTTTCTAATTAATTAATTTTATATTTTTGTAACTTCCACTTGCGTTCTCTTCTCTTGGATCTAAGTACGTGATTATTTTTCCCTTGCTTCCCTGTGGATACGACCCGTTCTCACCATTTACTATGTTTATATTTTTTGTGAGAAACAGTAAATTTATAAATGTTTAAACTGGTGTTCCAGATTAATTAACGATGCGCTTCCGGACACACCACCTTTTCATTTTTGTCCTTACAATCAAGTTTAGTAAAATGATCCCACACCCAAGAATTTTTTTTTTCTAGAAGAAGTGGTACAAACTTTTGAGTCAATCTCTAAATTGGTTGGGTGAGATGAAATACCATCATTACTTGAAGGTGTAGGAGAAGGAGATGGATTTATGTTTGTGGTTCTAACTGGATGATTGTTGGCACTTTGACTTTGACTCTCTGGCATTGTATTGTTATCACCCGTACTTGACATATATAAGATAAATAAAAAAATACATGTGTAATTAGAAAAAATAAACATATGATTTAAGCTAAAAATCCGAATTCTCCATAAAATCAGAAAAAATAGACAATGATAAATAAAACAATACATGTTAACACCCATACTTGACATAAAATCCGAATTCTCCAAACAATGAAAAATATACTAAAGTAAACATTCATTCATTTAAAGTTCTAAATTCTAACAATCCAAAAAAAAATCATTCAAGCTTAAATGAAAAATACAAACAACATTCATTCATTCTAAACATACAAAAAAAAAACCTAAAAGAGGTGGAGTGAGAGGTGGYGATTTGCTAGTGCTAGACTGGTTGCTGGTTGGTGGTTGCTGACTTACTGTCGGCTGTCGCCTAAACTCTGAAATGAGAGAGAGTGAGAGAGATGAGAGACTAAGAAAGATGAGTGACTATCACTGAGTTTGAGAGAGTAACTGAGAGAGGTGAGAGATTGAGAGAGATGAGTGATTGAGACTGAGAGAGATGAGACTGAGTGAGTGAGTGTTGAGTGAGAGAGAGAGAGACTGAGAATAGTGAACAGAGAACTAAGAGAGATGAGAGATTGAGAGGTCGGAGCCCGGAGGTTGGAGGCTGTCGGTCGGTTTGGCCCGTTGAGGAAGAAGAAGAAGAGAGCTGAGAGAAAGTGACTAAGAGTCTGAGAGAGAACTGAGAGTGAGAGACAACTAGCGTGTCGGTCAGAGGCCATCGGTTGGAGGCTTGGAGCCCAGAGGTCATCGAATGTTGGTTGGAGCCCAGAGGTTGTCAGTTGGTCTGGCCCATTGGGGAAGAAGAAGAAGAGAGATGAGAGAAAGTGACTGAGAGTCTGAGAGAGAGAACTGAGAATGAGAGACAATTGGTGTGTCAGTCGGAGGCTGTCGGACGTTGGTCGATGCCCGAAGGTCGTTGGTCGGTCTAGCCCGTTGGGGAAGAAGAAGAAGAAGAGAGGTGAGAGAAGGTGACTAAGAGTCTGAGATAGAGAACAAAGAGTGAGAGATGACATGTCGGTCGGAGGCTCGGAGCTCGGAGGCCGTCGGCCGTCGATCGATGCCCGGAGGTCGTTGGTCGGTCTAGCCCGTTGGAGAAGAAGAAGAAGAAGAGAGGTGAGAGAAAGTGACTAAGAGTCTGAGATAGAGAACTGAGAGTGAGAGACGACGTGTCGATCAGAGGCTTGGAGCTCAAAGGCCGTCGGCCGTCGATTGATTAGGGAAGAAGAGAGATGAGAGAATAGAACTGAGAGAGGGAAAGGGAAAAGGCCGATTAGGTTAAAATCTAATCCTTTATTTGATTTAAAAAAATATAATAAATAAATTATACACTATATAATAATATAATATATATTATTAGTATATACCGGTCAATTCGGTTAATCGCTATTTTTTTAAAAGGTTAATTGAAATAAAACAGAAATTATCAGTTTTTAATAATATCAAACCGAAACGAAACCGACCGATTCTGTTAACTGCTTTTTCGATTCAGTTTCAGTCGATTCGGTTTCTCAATTCTTTTTGCTCACCCCTAATGTGAGGAATAGATATGGACTCATTGGTTTTTTCTCATTTTTTTTCGTTAGCCGGATTCGTTCATTATGTACTTATATAATAGCCATATGATGTTTTTTATGGTTCAAGATTAGATTTGATCAATGCAAACTCGATTCCGTGAGAGTCATACTATAATGACCTCAAAGTCGGGATGGATAGTGTAGGCCCATAGGGGTGTAAAAGGATTGATCCGAAGTCCAATTCTATATTCTCTTATACAGATTGTCCCATTTTAAATCTTCAAATTTGATCGGATCGTATAATAAGATCCAATCAGGAATCGGATCACCCCTATATATTTATGCTAGTTATTTATTTATAAATATATTATTTATATTATATTATTATAAATTTATTATATTATTTATTTTTTTTACAAAACATATGATAAAAATAATTGAAAAGATATTTATATTTTTTTTGTTTTTCTTTATTTAAATTATTATATTATATTTTTCTTTTAATAAGTTATTTATTTTTTTAATAATCAAATCAGATCTTCATTGCCTCATTGAATTTATCTTTGGTTTTTTTGATAGATGACACCATGGGGCTTTGTTTTATTATTATTGATGGTATAGGGAAAATTGTATGGATGCAATTTGGATCGGGTTGGGTTGAATAAGTGTTCAAATCTGATGGAACCAAACTCGGATCCGAGCCCAATGCAGTCAAAATTACCCTAGAGACTTGGAGAATGGAGAGCTTTGTTAGGGTTCTCACGGAGTGCCCCAAATGAACCCGTTTTGGGGGTTCTGTCTTGAGTTCTAGAAGGTGCTCACTTGACCGCCACAGATTTATTTATAAGCGCAAAATTATATAAATAGAAGGGGAAGGGAGTAAATCATTTCTCGCTCTGCGTGGTCGGGTTCGAGCTAAAAAATCCTCTAAAACCCTAGAACCTCTAAAACCCTATACCAATCGTCTGGAGTTAAGGGATGGCGACTTCAGTTCTTCTCAGGTCTTTGAGGCGTTCAACGCCTTCTCTTTCTTCTCGTGGATGCGTAAGTTTTCTTCTATTCGCTCTCTACATACGTTGATTCTTTGTTTCTCTCATCTTTCAGTAGATTTTGAGATGTTGGTGCCTTTTTTCCTGAACGTAATCCTCTTCTTTGGTGATTGAAACTCTATCTTTTGTATTTATAAAGGCTTGGGTTGCGTTCATTTCTGGTGATTGCCGCGATCTGGAAGTTGGTAGTCATGTAGAGGATTGAGATTTATGATCGTTTAGGTTGCAGATACAAATTTCGGTGCTATGGGTTAATTGTTTGAGGCTCTCAATACATATAGATTTGATCTGATTATGTTATATAATTTTTGCCGTGGTATCCGTCTTTCTTTTATTTCCGCCGTGGTTTTTCTGTCTTCCTCCACTTGTGTTTTACAACATATCATGTTGTGGGGTTTTACTTGTTTGGTCCATTTTGGTTTTATCTTGAATTTCTTACTAGTCTCTGGTATGATTATCAGTTTCCTTTTGAGACTTTAATAAGCTTCCGCTCGTTTACGTTGGTTTCGAAAGAAATAATTTATGATGCTGGTTTTGAAAGAAATGGTTTGTGTACTGCGTCATGCTACCTGTCAATTCAGACTTCATAGTTGAGGAGAAAATTGTTTTTGCTTTTGCTTCTTACTACACTTTGTTGCGATGATAGTGATGTGGATGTCTTGGTAATTGTGCGTTCCAGACCTGGATTACACTTGTGTGCCAAATAAGTGTAGCTTTATGATCTTTTTAATTATTCTTTCTAGGAAGATATAAGTGTCAATGCCATGCCATATTTTGTTTCATGAAATCATGTATTTTGTATTTTCATCTTGGCTTACTTGCTTTTGATGCTAATTACCCTTTAGCAAATTTGATTTCTGTACTTTTACATTTTATTCTGTTGTCCCATTTATTATGTTCGTTCTTGCATTGCAATTGGTGAAAATGCATGTTAAAAGAAAAAGGTAGAAATCTCTAGGGGTGACGGTTGTATTTTAAATTCTGTTTAATGAGTTACCGTTTCCAAGAAAAAAGAAAAAGGTAGAAATAATGACCATAAGATTTTGTAATTGGTTTCATTTGATGACATCTGTGCTTGGTCTGTCTCATGGCATCATTATGAAATTTTACTAGTTGGCTGTAATTATTATGGAATATTAGGCTTGAGCTTTGTATTTATATATCTAGTATTTGTGTTGTAAGTTTTAACTGGTCTAATGAATAACAAAGAAGCTGGCAATGAATGATTAGATCTAATTTGTTGTGATTTTTATGATTTTACTTCTTAGATGTCATTGTATGCTTTAAACTTCAGAATGCTTCAGTACCAATTATGAACCTTTCAATTTATGGTTGCTTATTGCAAGCAAAGGAGTGCTGCAGCTGATTTATCTGTGTTTTACCATTAACAACAATATGTATATTCTTCTAGGGCCAAATTTCTATGAAATTAAGTTGGTTCTGTATTAATGTGCTCTTCCATATTGTGGGTGCCTGTTGCAGTGGACTGGCAATGCCAATGTGTCGTGGGCCAACTCTCCTTTGGGTTTCAAATTGGCAAGTTTGTGTAGACCATTCAGGTGCTTGTTATGGGTTTTGGCACTGCAATATTTTTAATTATTCTCTAATCTTGTCAACTGAAGAGATTTTTGTTATGATCCAGCTCAAGACCTGCCGGGAATGATGTTATTGGTATTGACTTGGGAACCACCAACTCATGTGTTGCAGTCATGGAAGGAAAGGTAATTTTTTTCTTGAAACATTTATTAGATTTCCTGGCATCCTGAAAGTTTAGTCTGTTTTGGTGGATCTTTCTGTAAATGCTACTTGCATTGATTGCAGAATGCAAAAGTAATTGAAAATTCTGAAGGAGCTCGAACAACACCATCTGTGGTTGCCTTCAACCAGAAAGGTGAACTTCTTGTGGGAACTCCAGCCAAACGTCAGGCTGTTACAAACCCAACAAACACAGTTTTTGGAACTAAGCGTCTTATTGGGAGAAGGTTTGATGATCCCCAGACACAGAAAGAAATGAAAATGGTTCCATACAAAATTGTAAAGGCCCCTAATGGAGATGCTTGGGTTGAAGCTAATGGACAGCAATATTCACCAAGCCAGGTTGGGGCTTTTGTTCTGACTAAGATGAAAGAAACTGCAGAATCGTACCTTGGAAAGACTGTTTCTAAGGCAGTGATTACAGTTCCAGCATATTTCAATGATGCACAGAGACAAGCAACAAAGGACGCAGGGAGAATTGCTGGACTAGATGTACAAAGAATTATTAATGAGCCTACTGCGGCAGCACTTTCCTATGGCTTAAATAATAAAGAAGGTCTCATAGCAGTCTTTGATCTTGGTGGTGGGACTTTTGATGTTTCTATCCTTGAAATCTCAAGTGGTGTTTTTGAGGTATATTTTTCCCTTCCTCTGGTTGAGAATTTTATTCCTGTTTATTTCTCTCAACTAATTCCCCTACTTTCAGGTTAAAGCAACCAATGGAGACACATTTTTGGGTGGGGAGGATTTTGACAATGCCCTTCTAGAATTTTTAGTCAGTGAGTTCAAGAGAACTGAGGGGATTGATCTTTCAAAAGACAGGCTTGCTCTGCAAAGGCTTCGAGAAGCAGCAGAGAAAGCTAAGATAGAACTGTCATCAACATCCCAGACTGAGATCAATCTGCCATTTATCACAGCTGATGCATCGGGTGCAAAGCATTTGAACATCACGTTGACCAGATCAAAGTTTGAGAGTCTGGTGAACACTTTGATTGAGAGGACCAGAAACCCATGTAGGAACTGTCTGAAGGATGCTGGCATATCTGTCAAGGAGGTGGATGAGGTTCTTTTGGTTGGAGGGATGACACGTGTTCCCAGAGTACAAGAAGTAGTTGCAGAAATCTTTGGTAAGAGTCCAAGCAAAGGGGTAAATCCAGATGAAGCAGTTGCTATGGGAGCTGCAATTCAGGGCGGTATCCTTCGTGGTGATGTCAAGGAGCTGCTTCTCCTGGACGTCACTCCTCTGTCACTTGGTATTGAAACTCTGGGTGGTATTTTCACCAGATTGATTAACAGAAATACAACCATTCCCACAAAGAAGAGTCAGGTTGGTCTATGTTCTGCATTTTGGCTTCTCAGAAAATTTTGATGGATTGTTTATTATAGACATTGAGTTTGTTTTTAAAAAGTACCTTGGTTCTGTTCATTATAATAGACATTGAATT